AGTCATTTTCTTAAAATGAATTAACGACTTTTATAAAAGCTGTGGTACTAAGGTTTCTTTGACAATTCGAATCCTATTGGATGCTGATTTTGTTTACACTCTTTTGTACATAACGTAGTGAAGCTGCTAGTCCTCAATATTCTGCAAATATAAGAAATTAATATGATCACACCTTCAACTAGCATTTTAAATGACAAAACGGGACCTTCTAAAAGATACGTCCTTTTTAAATAATGCCACAAAAAGAATGATAATTTTAACCGTCTTGAGTAAAATTGAAGAAGAGAAATCTACGAGTGATAAAGAGTGATAAAAATAGAAAATGCCCCAGCCGGGATTCGTTCCCGGAAGCTTTTTCTGTCTGTACAGATACCTTAAACAACTAGCCATTGGACATTCATTGCGAATTACAATCCAATTAGAAGAAACTGACTGTCCACATCCATACGTAATGGAACAGCACTAGTTCTAAATACACAGCAAGTATCAGAGAGCACTATAATATGTAATTATATAAGTCATTTTAAACCACAAAACGGATCACCAAAATATAATACAAATAGTAATTATAATAATTGCATTAACAATAATTATTATGAAATCAGAGTTGCTGCGTAGCACCTGTGTAGATGTAGACAAATTGGAGAATTATTTGATAGAGTTTTGTATCATTTTGTATTTATTTATTCATTTGATATTTACTGCCCGAGAGTCGCAAAATCAGGAAACCTCCTGTCGCCAAAAGAACGTGCAACTCTTTATTATATATAATAAAAAAAATGAATGATTTGCCAATTTCGTTACATTCGTTTACAATGCTGCTACGCAGAAACTCTGATTTTTATGTTTACATTTCCAACAGTGTCAAGACCTACTACAAAATCATCATACGAAGAAAGACAGACAACAGGTAGATATGATTACTAACAATTTCATTGAATACATAAGTACAACAACATACATGGATACATATACACACAACCCAGCCAGCCATACACAATAATAATAATAATAATAATAATAATAATAATAATAATAATAGTAATAATAATAATAATAATAATAATAATAATAATATAAATAATAATAATAATAATAAATAATAATAATATTATTAATAAAAATATTTATATACCGCCTGATGTTAAGAACCTTGAGTCGCACAACAACATAATAATAATAAACATAAAAATAAAAAATTAAAAAAAATGAGTAGCGTTGTTCTTTAATGGTCTCCACATTCATACCCTACGCCGGATCGTCACGAAAATATATAGGATCCTACCATTCAATATCAGAAATGTAACCGCGGCGGTAATAATGTAGGGTCTTTTGTATTATCTTTAATGTTTTCATTAATATTGGCTGTGTTATTATTGTTCATTTTACACAGAATCAACAACGGTCAAAGGGACGACAGTACCACTGACGTCAGGAGCAAAAGGACAGACCACTGGTGGTATGTAGCTATGCCTACATTGTTCTATATAAATATCATTACCATCCTTCCCAGACTTAGATATCTATAAATAAAAATGATATATAATATATACACACAACCCTCCCCCCCCCTCCACACACACACATCAAATAGATAATAAAATAGAATTTTATTTAATTGAAGGTTAGTTAGCTAAGCCTAGTTTGTCTTATATGTTAACCTAAGCCTAGGTAGGTTAGCTGGCCCTTTGTACGCCAGGACCAATTACAGTAGTAGTCGTATGTTACGTTTCTTCACAGAGTGGGTTTGTCCCCCGAAACCCCACTATATCCGCCATTGTTTTATATCGTACCAAACAGTTTATCAACGAAAGTTATTAATTAGTTGTATGAAAAAAGAGGTCAGTTGTGGGAATCGGACCCACAATCTATCGCTGTCTCGGTGAGTGTCATACTCTTTAGACTACAGAGGCCCGTACGATATATTATTACAGTTTCTAAGATCTTTGTTACAGTACCGTATTATTATTTATTTTACACAGAATCAACAACGGCCAAAGTGACGACAATACCACTGACGTCAGGAGCGAAAGGACAAACCACTGGTATGTAGATATGCCTACATTGTTCTATATTATCATTAACATCCTTCCCAGATACTTAGATATCTAAAAAAAATTATGATATATAATATATACACACACACACACCACCCCGCCCCCACCCCTCCACTCACACACACACACCCACACACACACACACACACACACATATCAAGTAGATAATAAAACAGAATTTTAGTTAATTGAAGGTTAGTTAAGCTTAGTTTGTCTTATAATATGCCAACCTTCTTAAGCCTTGGCAGGTTAGCTGGCCCTTTGTAGGCCATGCCCATTACAGTAGTATTCTGTTACTGTTCTTCACAGAGTGGGTTTTATCCCCCTAAACTTCACTATATCCGCCATTGTTTTATATCGTACCAAACAGTTTGTAACGAAAGTTATTTATTAGTTGTATGAAAAAAGAGGTCAGTTGAGGGAATCAAACCTGCAATCTATCGCTTTCTCGGTGAGCGTCATACTCTTTAGACTACTATCAGAGGCCCTTACGATATATTATTACAGTTTCTAAGACCTGTGTTACAGTATTAATATTCATTTTACACAGAATCAACAACGGCCAAAGTGACGACAGTACCACTGACGTCAGGAACAAAAGGACAGACCACTGGTATGTAGATATGCACATTGTTCTATATAATTATCAATAAAATCCAAGAGACTTAGATATCTAAAAAAAAATATTATGATAATATATACACACACAACCCCTCCTCCGCACCCCCCCCCCCCCCCCACACCCACACCAAAAAAAAAAAAAAAAAAAAAATTTTTTAATTTA